GAAGGGAAGTATATGACGGAAATAGTCCATGCAATTAAACTTAGAGTAAGAGAACATAAAACACCCTTGCCCATTGAACCAATTACACCTCCTTTCCTCAAGCATCATGTATTCTCGGGTGAAACAGAAAAGAGCTCACTTCACCAAAAGCACCCTTCCCGATGACCTTCAGTGGTGTGAAGTCGTCCACCGTAAGGCGAGCCCGCTTCAGTCGCAGGTACTCACTTTCCTTCAAGGCATGTTGACTTCGCTTTTGTTGTTTCTACAAAGGACAGACACATCGCTGGGGAAAATAATCCTGTACCTGGTCTTCCGTTAGCCCCTCTGACTCCATCATGCACTCCAGGATCTTGTACCTGCAGCACAAGCAACAGCACTGACGTTACAAACGTTGAGTCATGATAGAGTAGAGGAGGAAGACTCATACAGACCTGTTTTGGCGATCTTGTGACTGAGTGGCGAGGTTATTGTAGAAATTTTCGAGGGTGACTTTGGCAATCTTAACGCTATCCAGTGTACGACTGCTAATAGCTATCTCACGTCCGGGATGGGACGGAGGCAATTGGCTGGATACGGAGGTAGACGATGATCCAAGAGAAAGGAAAGACGTGGATCCTGAGCACCCATCATCTTTAATAATAGAACCTGACTCGCTGGAGGTCATACTGACCGAAACACGGTCTTCCAGAGACTTATTATCTAGAGGAAAAGCATAAATGGTGCAATGGATGAACAATAGTGTATCTCAACGCTTGGGATGAAGTTAAAATGCCAAAATGAAAATATGTGGAATTAAGTTCACATCGGAGGCTTAAGGAAGACAAAAAGTATGATAAACTCATACCTAGATCGAAAAAGATCAGACACTGTCAGATCCAGGGGAGAAAAACTATTTTCTCACAAGGCATTCGCTGATAGTTATAGTCATGTCTATGAGTATCACTAGAGAAAAGCAAAAGCTAGCGATTTATCGATAGCCATGAAACGAAGAAAGGTCTTACAGAGCAGAAGTATGCAACAGCGACCAGACATAAGAATTTTAACCTAGATCAATTAATTTAGGAGGATCTATGGAAAACCCCACGAAATCAAATTCCGTAACAAGAAAAATGAAAATCAAGTCATCTATAGACTATAAAACTTCGATTAAGTGTCTGGAAAACAGCCAGATACGTGAACCCACGAAGGTATCAAACAATAGGGCATGCATTACCGATGTCTCATGATAGGCTAAAAGGAAATTAATGTAATACCTGCCAATTTAGCGATAATGTACAACTCGCGTAAATATTTACTGACTAAAGAGATCATCAATAAAAGAGAAATTAAATCCACCAGATGTGACCAACATCATACTCACATTATGAAGTACGAACACGGTGAGAACGAATAAATAAAACCGAAAACGACAGACACCAGCCAATAAGAAAATGCTTCTTCAAATATCTGAAGGTGGCTCAGAAAAAGGCTGTGCTGGACAACTAAAACAAGAAATCTGAATGGTGAAATTATAAATCATGGACTTTTGCTTCATAGCACCAAGCCTTTTCTGCAACTAAAATCAACTGTGCGTTCACGAATATTAGAATTATCATAGAAAGGGATAGGAATGACTGATAAAATTGCTAATGCTTCTTAAGAATTATTACGGCTGCAGAATTTCAATTCTTAACAAAAACCGAAAATTTATCATGCCACATAAATAGGAAGGGGTTAGTTGCGAAAGGTTTACTAGGTATCATGTAAAGGACACAAGGTAATAAGGGGAGGAAATGATGAAACGCATAGCTGATGTAAACCCAAGAGGGTTTCTTCATGCACCTTACCAACTTGATTCGCTTTCAAGTTTTATTCAACGTATAAAGGCTTTAATACATACTAGTTTGCTTAAGTGGACTTTTATAGGTAAGAGGCGGGGGCCAATTGGGAATGCGAGTCACGTGGGCGGAGACGATGAGAAGTCTCCCTCCAGTTGATATCTCCTATTCGGCTCATCTACATCCCAATCCCATTATTTCTGTAAAAAATAACAAATAAATCATCTGCGGCCAACCCCCTAGTCCGAGGTTTAAAAGCAGAATGGTAGACAGCCAGCTCTTACACTAGTGGCGGCGCCGACCGACATCCCTCCTTCAAAGAGG